GTCCACCCCCTGCTCAAGAAGGCAGCCCAGTCAAATTCCCTCTGCTTGGGATCCCTTGAGGTCGGCACACCCCAGCATGCAGCAACATGGGTTATGTTGCACAATCGACACCTACTAGCACTGATGACGTCACCTAGTTTGGGTCATAAATTGCGTGCAAGAAAAAAGCAAGTTCAGAGAGTACCAAGGACCCCACAATCCTTCCTCATCTTCATCATCATCATCCTCTTCTCTCTCCTCCTCTCTTCTTCCTCCTCCTCCTCTTCTTCTCTCTTCTCCTCTCCTCCTTCTCTCTCCTCCTCTCTTCCTCCTCCTCCTCCTCTCCTTCTCCTCTTTCCTCCTCCTCTCTTCCTCCTCTTCTTCTTTCCTCTTCTCTTCCTCCTCTTCTCTCTCCTCTTCTCTTCCTCCTCTCTCCTCCTCCTCTTTTCTCTCCTCCTTCTCCTCGTCTTTGCAAACCCCACTCCCTTCTAGCACTGATTATGTTACCTAGTTCAGTTATGAAACGTCTGCAAGTAAACCACCAAGCTCAGAGAGCACCAAGGACCCCACAGTTCAACCCTGCGCTACAAATATCCTCTTACTGCCTCCCCCACAACACTGTATGACTCTCCCCAGCTGGCTCCAGCTCTCTCTAACCGCCTGGACCTAAGATAGAAGTGGCAGCTATCTAGATTTTTCCATCAATGCAAGGAAAACCCTCCTGAGGGTGGGGGCCTTGAAGACACGGGATAGCCCATCTCTCCCAGAATGCTTTCGCCCGGGGCGGGGTTGGACTAGACGACCTTTGGGGTGCCCCTTCCGTACTCTGACAATTCAGCAATCCTGACTCCCACCATGGCCCTGTCCTTACTCGCTTTTCCTATGCCCGGCGCGGCCTTGTCTGCTTCCCAACTGGCTTTCCTTGCCGTTAGCAGCTGGTCGAACTGGATTTGTAATTTCCCCAACCAGCAAAGCTGTGGCAAGGTGTCCCCTCAGGCGTATCATGTCGCAGTAGATACCCCCCCCCCAAAAAAAATAGAGGCTGGCTTCCGCTCCTCGCCCTGCCTTCTCATGTGCCAAGCGCATCCCTCGACTCGGGCAAGAAAGTTGGCGAGGCCGACGCAGCCGTGACTGACCGTGGGAATTCTCCACCGGTCCGGAATCATCTTCGTAGCGTCCTCGCAAATTAACGGGACCAACTTTGCTTTTGGAAGTTGTGGGAGCTTCATCCCTGGAAGCTTTTCAAGAAGAGGCCAGACTGCCCTCTTGTCAGAAAGGGTGTAGGGTCTCCTGCTTGGGCAGGGAGGGGTTGGACTAGATGACCTCCGAGGTCCCTTCCAACTACGTTATTCATTAAGGATCTCCTGCTTGAGCAGGGGAAGTGTCATTTCTGGAAGCTTTTCAAGAAGAAACCGGACTGCCCTCTTGTCAGAAATGGTGTGGGGTCTCCTGCTAGGGCGGTAGCGGGTGGGGTTGGACTGGATGACCACCAAGGTCCCTTCCAACTCTGTTAATCTGTTTTATTTTTAAAAAAACAAGAGGGTACCCCAGCAGAAAATTCTTGACAGATAAGCATTGACCTGACTATTGGTAGTCAATATACAATATACACTCATTCGTTTATGACTGACCCGAGTTACAACGGCACCGAAAAAAGTGACTTATGACCATTTTCCACACTTATGACCACAAAAATATATAACAAATATAATAAATACAATATATCATATCATATTAAATAAATTACATAAATAATATATGTATGTATGTATGTGTATGTATATATATTTAATATCTTATCTGTGTCCTAGCCAGGCTAGAATTCCCCTGCTGCTCACAATTCTTTCCCAATATAAGAGCAGAAAGTCCCACTTCTGATAAATTTTATTTTCCTTTTCCTTCCATTGTTGAGCTGACCTAGCAATCCCTGGGAAACAGCTTATGTAGCAAAAGTGAAAAGTGGGGAATTTTGCTCCCCAGCCTTCAAAAGGGGTCTTCCCAGTCGGACCTACGTCAGGCGGTTATCAGCCCCTCAGCCTGTATGGAGCCTCCACATTCCAAGACAGTCTACCTCATCTTCAACCTTGAACAGTCTTAGTTAGAGAGGATCCTATCTTACAGGCTTTTTATGGGGAGCCATGGAATAGCTGCAGGGTTAATTCAGAAAGGAAAAGTTTTATAAAGTTTTAAAAAGTGTTTTAACAGTTTTAAAAGCTTCCAAACTTTGAAAAGCTTTTAAAAGCTTCCAAACTTTAAAAAACTTTTAAAAGCCTCCAAACTTTTAAAAACTTTTAAAAGCCTCCAAACTTTCAAAAACGTTTAAAAGCTTTTAAAGTTTTAAAATGTTTAAAAGTTATAAAAAGCTTTAAGAGCTTTTCAAACCTTTGAATCTGTTTTTTCAAAGTTTTTGAAAACATTTTGAAAGATTTCAAAAAGTTTTTTTTTTTTTAAAAAAAAAAAGTTTTTAAAAGGTTTCCAAAGTTTGAAAAGAAGATTGCAACGGTTTCATAAGAAGCTTGAAAAGTTTGGGTGTGGGGGGGCAAGGCGGGGAGTTTGAAAGAAGTTTGAAAAGAAGTTTTTTTTAAAAAAAAAAAGTTCCAAAAGTTTCTCTTTCATAGGCAAAAAACATCCCAATCAAAGATTATAGGGAATTTGGGAGGGGGGGGGTTGATTATTTTTATTTTTCTTCATTCAGACCCCTCCCCATTGTAGAAATATAGGTTGGGGGTAATACATGGGGGTAAAAATACCTGTCATTAGTGCAAGCCCCTTACACTCTTGCCCCCTTTCTGACTAACCTTCCCTTCTCATCCTCCTGTCTGCGGGGCCAGGGAGTTCGTCCTACCCCACCGCACCCCCCAGCTGACCCTCTGACTCAACTTCCCAAGATCTCCCCCCCCCCTTCGGTCTTTGCCTGGGGAGTTCCACGCGGGGGGAGGGAGGGGCCAGCAGCCTTGGCCCTCCCTTCCCCTCCCCGGATGCTTCTCATATTTGTGACACCCAGCGGGCTCCACCCCAGACTTTTGACAGGAGTTGCGCATCCCTCTCGCTGCTCCAGAGCGTTCCGGGGCCAAACGAGCCGCATCGGAGCTGCTGAGCCGCCCAATGCCAGGTGAGTTGCGGGCCGGCGCCGGGGCAGGTGGGTTGGTGGAGGGAGCCCACAGACGCTATCTCTCCCTCTCTGCCCGTATGCGACTTTGCAGAAGGTGAGGTCGCAGGAGGCGTCGTAAGGTGAGGGAGGCTGAAGTGGGTCGTCGAGGGCAGAAACAGGAGCGTCGTTGCTGAGAGATCTGAGACGAGAAGGAGAGGTAGGTAGGTAGGTAAGGTAGTTAAGGCAGGTAAGGAAGGAAGGAGAGGTAGGTAGGTGGAAAAAGAGCGGGAAGGGAGGAAGGAAAGGATAGGTAGGTTGGTAGGAAAGAAGGGAGGGAGGGAAGGAAGGAAGAAGTGTAGGTAGGTAGGTGGAAAAGGAAGGAAGGAAGGTACCGGTAGGTAGGTATGTAGGTAGGTGGAAAATAGAGGAGGGGGGAAGGGAGGGAGAGAGCGAGGAAGGAAGGTGGAGAGTGGAAGGAAAGAAGAAAAGAAAGTAGATAAGTAGGTGGAAAAGGGGAAGAGAAAAGGGGAGAGAGGGAGGAAGGAAAGGGAAAAGGAGAGAGGAAGGAGAGAAGGAAAGATGAAAAGAAAGTAGGTAGGTAGGTAAGAAGGAAGGAAGGAATGGACCAGGGAGGGAACCTTTAGCAGCTGGGAGCTCCAAGGTGTCTCCAGCTGTGCGCACAGGTATCCGGGGCCGCCTAGAGCAGGCAATGGATGTCGGGCAGGTGTGAGGAGTTTAAAAAAAAACACCTTGAGGAGTTGCGAAGAAGTTTGGGGTTGAAAGAAATTCCGGAGAAACAAGGGAATGGGACGAAGGCAGCAGAGAAGGGGAGATGTGGGGAGTGGGAGCAGAACCCCAAAAGGGGGGTCTCTTTAATCCCACCAGTGGGCCAGCAGTGGGTCAGGACTGAAAGTTAGGAGCCAAAGCGGCTGTTGTTACAAACGCGCGTCGCCGGGCGCGACCCCCGTGCTTGCGAATCCAGCGCACGCGAACCGACGGGGGGGGGGGGGGCAGCACTACAGCGCCCATCATCTGGAAGATGGGAGTTGTAGTGCGGAGGTGCTTGAACCCCCTGGGGCTGAAAAGGAGAGTCTCTCTCGAGGCTTCAGAAGGGGGAACCTGCCTCCCTCTGGGCGTCGGAACGGGACTTTGGAGGTCCCAAAGTCGTGCCCGCAGGTGGAGGTGAGTTTCGATTCTCAACAACCCCGCAAGGCAGGCCGGGTTCTCCAGAATCCGCTCCCGAACGGAGCAGGGACTTGTGAAAACACGGGTGGGGCGGAGCTTTGGCAAGACAGCGCTGGATCCGAACCCCGAACCTATCGGGGACAAATCCGTGGGCTCTCCCGGTTCGCGCAAGACCAAACGGGTTAAGCAACCCACGAGCTGACACTTACTTAACTCAAGATAGCAGATCCTAAAGGGCCTGGTTGAGCGAGTTTGGAGGTGAGTGCCTGTTGTTGCGGATATACCAAATAATTGTCGTAGGTTGGAAATTGGGGTTGGACTAGAAGACCTCCAAGGACCCTTGACAAGCCAAAGGGGAGGCTTGCTGGCTTGTGGCACCAAACTGTGTGAATATTGCCGGAGGAGAAGTGATGTGTTGGTCTATAAACAGTGTTTCACATCCTTGGGAACTTTTGATGCCCAGAACTCCCAACTTTTAAGATGGGGGGGACTACAACTCCCACAATTGCCCAGCCAGCAAGGGTTTTGTAGTCCACCCGTCTTAAAGTTGGGAGTTCTGGGCATTGAAGTCCACCCTTCCAAGTTTCCAAGGTTGAGAAACACTGATCTATGATGATTTTAAAAAAAAAACTAAAAAACTGGAATTTTGCAGGAAAAGTTTCTGACAATGAATAACAACGGTTTGTCAGGAAAGGAAGCTTCCAGATTTTCCATGTTGTGTGAACGAAGCTGCGAGCTTTTTGCCTTCGTTTCATTGCCAGTCTTGTGCAAAGCAAAGTGTGTGGGGGGGAAATTCCCCATTTTGGAGATTTCATGTTGTCCTTCACCCCATCCTCGTATTTATTTTTGGAGTACATGACACGAATTCAAGTTTAAATTCTAGGGAAATTAATTCTGGTTTAAAGTACGGAAGACCTATGGGCCATTGATAGCAAGACCCACCTGTCTATTGTGGGCATGCTTCAATCAATCAGAATACAGCTGGAAGGGACCCTTGGAGGTCTTCTAGTCCAACCCCTTGCTCAGGCAGGAGTCCCTACATCATTCCAGACAAATGACTTCCCAATCTCTTCTTTAAAACCTCCAGTGATGGAGCCTCCGCAACTTTTGTTGGCAAACTGTTCCACTAGTTAATTCTGGTTAATTGGTGACATAAATCTGGAGGGTTGGATTGGATTACCTCAATGCACCCGTCCCACTATGAAGTTTGTAGGAGTCTGGTGATTTTTAGGAGGGATTCAGGGGCAGGATCTTCTTGTACAAACCAGGATTGATGATGGCTTCAGAGAATCAAAGCCCACAAACAGACCTTCCATTGAGACCGCTGATAAAGAGATTTTCAGGTGTGACCCTGGGTTTGAGACCATTTGGTACCAGAAAAATTTCAACGTGCAAAAAATTCTTGTGCACAGATAGGATAATTTTCTCTTTCTCCTCAAATTCGTCTTGCACCCAAATATTTGTTTTTGGAGTCGAAAGAAAAGTCCTTTTTGACTTGGTTGAAAATATTTTAACAAATTGGACTTGAATGGTTTGGATGGTGTTTGCCCTTTCCTGACCCTGCCGACAACCTTGGTTGGATCCTCCTGCAGGTGGTCCTCATTTAGCGACCGTTTACAGTCACGAGAGGGGATGAAAAAGGAATGTGGTGACCAGTCTTCTCATCTACAACCTTTGCAAGTCTGTAACGCAGAGGAAAACCAAGGGAACCACGCCTTCGCTTAGGGACTGTTTTGTTTAATAACCGAGCAGTGGTCACTAAATGAAGAATGCCTGTAAAATGGGCACATTTTTTTAAAGTCACGCTAAGAATGTCTAAACAGGTTAATCCTGAACTTCAATATTAATTCATTACTCTGCAGATATTGGAGGGGAGAGGTGTCCATTTTAAGGGCCCAGAAGGAGACAACCTTGGTGTGTGTGTGTGTGTGTGGTGTGTAGGCTTGAAGAGTTTTTAAAATTGATTTTTCACTTTGCCATTCAGCTCACAATCACACCTGGATCTCTCAAATTGTAAATGGGGCTTTTATCCAGGGCAGGAGTGGAGAATGGTGGCCGCTTTAAGACTTGTGAACTTCAACTCCCAGAATTCCTGAGCCAATTCCAGTCAGGAATTCTGGGAGTTGAAGTCCACAAGTCATAAGGGGGCCACCGTTCCGCACCTCTGGTCCAGGACATCATCTTCCAGAAATATCATTACAAAAAGAAACATACTTTCCTCGTGTCCAGAGGAGCTCTTTCGACGCAATGGCCTGTTTTCCAAAACAGAGTCTTGCACATGAAATCATTCTTGCGTAGAAAGTAGGAAGCTGATGAACTGAGTGGATTGCTTGATGTTATCAGATTTTTCTTCCTTTCTAGAATGTGCCAGACTTTATCCTCTCATAGTGCTTAAACAAACATGTCTCACTTAACACTGGTTTGTCGAGTAAACCATAATTGGTTCGTCGAGTAAACCACAATCAGGTAAAGCCGCCAAACCCTGGTTTGCAAGCCACAACCAAACAAATCAATAAATTTAATTTATTTAATCTGTATAGTTGCCCATATATCGCTGGATTCAAAGAAGCACTGAGCTGGCCAACACATTCAGTACATTAAAAATATAAAAATTTACTGTCTGAATAAACCGACCAGATTGAACACTATAGAGTGTGGCACTTCCTAGATCAGCTTGATCGTGGCAAATAAGATAGATTGCTCCTGATCACAGTGCCAGCCACCCATGAGGGACCCTTCCTTGGAGACTCCATTCCGGCACCCTCCAAAAACAAGCCACAAATTTTCATGGCCTCCCATGAAGTTATTTTTAAATCCACCTCCCCAACATACAAAACCCCACCCCGGTGAGGTGACTCTTTTAAAATTCAGCAAATGTCCATATTTTTCTTTGCGTGAGAACTGTGTGGTTTGCCTTCCCAAGGATCCTCCCTGGGAAACCGGTTTGCTGAAAGCTGGTGTACTCCTCAAACAGGTCTCTTGGGATGAAAGGTTCGAGACAGGCAGCTTTTACCTCCCGCCTGGGAAGAACGAAAAATAGTTTTCCCTGGTTGGATTCCTGCCTGCTCTGTAAAGGCACGGGGGTCTTGCAAAGAGGAGGTGGAGAAAAGTAAAACGTTCACTCTGTTATGTTAAACAGTGTTTCTCAACTTTGAGATGATTGGACTTCAACTCCCAGAATCCCCCAGCCAGTTGAGTAGTTTTATTGCGTTAATTCAGTGTTTCGAAACTTTGAGATAGGTGGA